TCTCCAAAAAAAAGATTTTGCTGTTTAGTTAAATGAGAAAGCCAGTAAGATATTATAACAGGTTGAAGATATATGAAAACATAATTAATATGTCTAAATAACAGACATATTAATTAATCAGAAACATTGAAATGAATTTCCAAATGGAGGGGAACTGGCTTTTGAGAGAAAAGGAGAGTTGTTCCCTCACTGGACAAAAATTATTTCCATGCTACTTGTCTTCTACAAGTTAATTGTAGCCTCTCAAAAATTGTAAAATGGGTGGTGCCTGTGGTTCAGTGGTAGGGCGCCAGCCCCATATACCAAGGATGGCGGGTTCAAACCCAGCCCTGGCCAAACTGCAAACAAAAAACAGCTGGGCGTTGTGGTGGGCGCCTATAGTCCCAGTTACTCGGGAGGCTGAGGCAAGAGAAGCACCTAAGCCCAGGAGTTGGAGGTCACTGTGAGCTGTGATGCCACAACAGAGGGCAATAAAGTAAGATTCTGTCTCTAAAAAATAAAAAATAAAGAAGTTGTAAAATGGAGTTTTGGTTTTGTTTTTGCAGTTTTGGCCAGGGCCAGGCTTGAACCTGCCACCCCTGGTATATGGGGCCGGCATCCTACTCCTTGATCCATAGGCACCACCCTGTAAAATGGAGTTTGAGAGGCTGAGACTGGAGGACACCTTGAGGCCCAGAGTTCTAGACCAGCCTGTATAACATAGTGATACCTCTATCTATAAAAAGAAGAAGAAGGGGGGAACAAGGAGTTGTAAAATTGTCTAGGCAAGACGAAAGTGAATATTCCTAGACTGTCAGATAGCATTATAGCATTTTATTGAAAGTATATCCAGTAATCCTTTTTGCTTATTACACTGTCTTACGTGTTTCTTTCTACTAGTAAACAAATAATCCTTGTCTAAAACAGAGTGTTTCTCTTTTATCTGTGAGAAAGTCAGTTTCTGTGTGAAAGTTCTGCATAGGGGCAGACAGCAAAGAAGAGAACCACTGCTGCTGCAAAGGCTTGTTTAATCCTAGCAACCAAAGGCCAATAGAACCCCTCAAATCCTATCTTCCTAACCAGACTTTAAGCCACTTGAAATCAGGAAGCTTGCCTTTTGCCTAGCTTACTTTCACGAAGTATATTGTAAGAAGTGGGGTTATACAAATATTTGCCAATTGATTCCTCAAAGTCAGCAGATTGAAACAAGAAGTTTTTGACCCTGTTTGAAGATTTAAAACAGCAATGACAGGACAACCTGAGCTAAAAATCAATACTCTTCCTATCGTGCAGCCAAGAACAGTCAGAAACTGAAAATTCTTGTGATCTAACAATGAGTGCCAGTGAACTCATCAGACCTGAGTGGCTTTAGCATTATAAAAACCTCTAGAATGGCAGGCACCTGTAGTCCCATCTACTCAGGAGGCTGAGGCAAGAGGATTGCTCAAGCTCAAGATTTTGAGGCTGCTGTGAGTTATGACCCTGTGTCACTCTACCCAGGGCAAGAGAGTGAGAACTCTGTCTCACAGAAAAAACCAAAACAGGCTTGACGACTGTGGCTCAAGTGGCTAAGGCGCCAGCCACATACACCTAAGGTGGTGAGTTCGAATCCAGCCTGGGCCCACCAAACAACAATGATGCCTGCAACCAAAAAATAGCCAGGCGTTGTGGCAGACACCTGTAGTCCCAGCTACTCAGGAGGCTGAGGCAAGAGGATTGCTCAAGCTCAAGA